CGGCATTCGAATGTGGGACTGTAGGTTTGCACAGCAGCCAGTGCCTCGGCTGTGCCCAGATTCACCTGGATGCTGCCAGCTGGCAAAATCCAGTCGTGTATTAATGTTCACCTATACATATGTACAGTAGTGCCTATGTGTACATATATACATACAGATCTGTGTATATATTTTGCATATAATATACATATACTGGATATATATATAGGCGCGTTCTTTCGAGATCCGGAAAGTGTCCATGTGCAATCAGTGTTATCCGTTGCTATCTTGCCATATACTTGTTCCTTGCTTCAGGGCTTTTTTTTTTCTCTTACAAGACACAACTGTCACTTTTTTCAAACTCCCCGGTTACTACTATTTTTTTATTAATGTACTCCTAGATTCAAAACATCTCTTGCATTTTTTTTCTTAGCCCTTGGCCTCAGTAACCTGCATCACGCTGTCTGAATGCTTTCTGACATGTGAATTTTCCATTTAATTTTAATGTACAGCGTTGACCGAAATTTTTTGTTTTGTTTCTGCCTAATTGATACTTGTCTGCCACTTCAGTACTTCCATTTTGTAGCTAAACTCTCCATTTCCCAGACGTTACATTATATTTCTGGATAAAGTCTGACTCTCCTGCTGTCTATTTTTAGATTTCTGGGTTAATTTTGCTTGTATTATGGTCAGTTTTTTTGGTTTGTTTTTTTTTTAATTCAAAGTACTGTGAAACAAGCTTTGGTTCTGTGTTTACCTGTGTTGATCCACAGCGCAGTTTGGTTTTGTTTTTTGTTTTTTCCTTGAAAAGAGTGGCATATCAGAGATGAGGATCTTTTTTTTAAGGGGCAGAAATTAGGACAACTTTGTAAAATGCAGACTTACAACAGATTATTACAGGAAAGAGTTTGGAGGAGAGTGTTTGCATAATAATTGGCAGCTGGGTTTATCAGGGTGCATTGGCAATCAGGCATTTTTACTTCATTAAAGCATTGAATGCTACCTGAGAGAGTAGATGCTGGAGCAAACTCTCCTGCTAAAACTAAACATGTATGCCCAAACAACCCACTGAATAACTCGTGGGGTTGCCTTCGGCTTTTAACTATGCTAAAAAGCAGAGTTTTCTATTTTTTTCAAAGTTCTCAAGTTTCCCGCTGACATCCGATGAAGGAGCATCGGCCTGTTTTAAAGGCTGTATCCTGCTGCCTTAGGATAAAGGTTTAACCCAGGAAAGGCAGAGACTGGAGACACTGTTTCGTTAGCAACCGAACCTGCCTTGCAAGACCTCAAAAATGTGATCTGCATGTGGGTGCCACTCAGTTCTTATAGAACTGCTTTAAAGGGACACCCCCCAATAAATGACATTTAGGCATTGCTATGGATTTGTTTCTCTAAGACATTCCTAGGTAAACAGCATTTTTAAATAAATTGCTGTGGAAACAAATGTGGCAATACAGAGAAGTTCAACTGCGTGATCAAGAACAAGACAAATGACAGGAAATTGAGAGCACCTTAACTAATACCGAGTCAGGCCCGTAATAAATCCACGAGCAATCGCTACAAAGCTCCCAAATGAATGGACAGCTCTGCCAGATGAGTTGGCAAACAAAGCCACGGGTGGTTTAGAGGGGAGGATGCATCGAGTGGCGATAAGGACCCCAGTGTAGTCTGATCAGCAGAGAAAGGCCAAGCGACACGGTGAGAGCGCAGTATTGATGTTCGCTGTCAGATGTGAAGTGTAACAGGACAGCACTGCTCTGCAATCCTTAAACTCATGCTTTCTTCTCCAAGTGTCAAATGCAGTGGACAAAATCCCCTGAGAGCAGATGGGTATCTCCCCTTTTTTCCTCTCTTTAATACTTTGGGGTGACCCGTGTAGGGTGAATATGGGCACTCCTTATTAACAGCTTTCTGGTGTCATCTTTTTGGTCACTGATACCTGGGTTCTCAGTGCTTGTGTTTCGTTAACAGTTCACCTTGCAATGAAGAAACTTAGACTGCAGGTATGAAAAGGGGACCCTGCCACAGGATTTAGTCTGACTGTGCAGGAGAGGGATGGAGGCGGTGTCCTGCGATAGCTGTTTTTTGAGGGCAATTCACTCCTGGGTGGAATCTCCTGAAAGGTTAAGTGGTATACAGGTCCTGGGTTAGCCTCTTGTCTTGACTTTGGAGAAATGTAACCCTGTATCTTATTGCAGAGAAACCTTCTGCCTAGCCTACAAGCTGCGCTAAATATTTCACGTCTAACAGTGAATCGTAGGACTAGCACGGGAGCAAGTTAGCACAGCATTCGTCGTTCATCTTGTTCACATCCCATGAGCCGCACCCCGTCATTTCTGCGACCGAATGTCGCATTCGGTAGACTACATTGCAGCGAACAGGAGGTCTTGCAGGAGCTAAATTTTTAAAATGAGACCCATCTCTGTTTTGAGGAGAGGTTGCCCTTTATCTGTTTCCCGTCTCTGAAAACAGCCCGTTCAGATACACTGACAAGCATTGCTAAATGAAGTTGTATAAAATGCAAATAGCTGCTGTTTAACGTGCTTGGAGGTGCATTTAACCTTCGTTGCTAAAGTAGGTGTGCAGAGTACTTGTTGTTGCTTTATAAATAGTTGTTGTGTGATTTCAGTCATCTTTGTATTTTTCTTTGTAGCATGAACATGACTTTTTATTTTCCAGGGTAATTCACAGTATAAATCATGGGCCACAGGATCAACAGATGTACATCAGTATGGTCTAGTACAATACGTGGAGCTGTGCTGATTTATGCTTGTTGAAATATTTAACCCCATGTTTTAATATACGGGTGGCAGATTAACACCAGATGCTCTCAAAATGCTACTCGAGATCATAGAAGGTTCAAAAGATGGAACAATTTGTCCTATTCCTGATCAAAAATGAGGCTTTTCATCCACAGACCCTTTATTCCCTTCCTTCCTGTAATAAGAGAAAGCTCTCTGGATGCTTTGGGATCTGCTGACCTAAGCAGGTATTTCCAGGAAACAGGCTAACTAAGGAAAGAGAGTTTGCTCCACAGAAATAGTTCAGCACTTTAATACCTCTATGAAGGTAAAGACAATTAGAATGTAAAAACCAGAAGTTTTTTTTCTTTTATTATAAGCTCTTTAGATACGCACAATTTTATGTACAAATATTGCCAAAGAATTGGATCTGAAAAGACGTTGATTGCTATTAAGCGGGCCTTGTGTTGTGTGTTTTTTCTTCTCGAATCAAAAGGTGGTAAATGCTTCAGAAATGAGTGGGATTTTGTAACTTGAATTTGTCGTCAACAGCTGCCAAAAGTCTGAGAAGGCTGGGAGTATACAACACTTTTCTTTTTTACTTGTAAAGGCTACGGTGTTTGATCCCAGCGTGGAAGGGTAGGGCTGGAAGTCATCCTGATGAGGTAGGAATATCATTTCAATTGCTAAATAGGCTTGTTGGTCTGAAAGTCTTTTTTTTAAGCCAATGGGATGCATTTGATTATGTTACACGTTGAAGTGGATACATTGATATTTCGTTGTGCATCAAGGAATCGTGGATTGCTGAACATGCTTAAAAAGCCCTTTTTTTTTTTTTTTTTTTTCCCACCACCCCCCCAGATTGCTTAGAGTACAAACCTGACACTCCAGATAACAAATAAATACATTCCAGCAGCAGAGTTTTGAAATGGTTACCATATGGATGTCAACTGCCGGCTGTCACGTGCCAGCAGATCCCTATTTGCTTGGTGGATTAGAATAAAAGAAACGCCACTGAATTCTGCACAGCGTATCACCTGGTGAACTACCTATAAACTAAGGGGGTGACTGACCCCATATCTAACAAATATAACACACTTGCATGCAGATATGTGGCCTACGTATGTTCAGAGGCGCTTTCGTTGAGAACAAATATCACACTAGGGCCAAAAAAAACCCTCTCACCATTTCCATCTCTTGCAACACTAAATTAAAATGTATTTTTTGTAGACATGTGCACCATCTGTCTGATTCTGTTGAAAAACTAGCATAGGGAAAACTTTGTTCAACATCACTGCCTTGGGAGAAGCTTGGTTTTGGTTCAAGCCCCTTTAAATCACCAAGCTTACGCTGGTCTGAACAAACCTTGTTTGCTATCTTGGAGAGGAAAAGGTGCAAAGGGAAATGAGACCTGTGTCGTTTCCCTGATGCCTGCCTTCCCGACAACTGCCTTCGTCTTCCAGATTTCTGTTAAGCGTTTGCTTAGGGTCCATCTTGACTGCGGACATATATGCAGTTTATCATCCAGAAGTTTGCTGCTTCCTTTTGAATTGGACTGTATTTTTTTCTTAGCCTGCAGATGTTCTGTGTCTGACTTGAATGGCAGACATAAATGCTTATTTTAAAGCTAACAGGCAGCATCAGAGAGGGCTTAAGTTCATGATTTTTTTGGCCTGTCCATTTCCCAGGTCTTGATTTGGGTTTCTTCTGAACCACTCTCCTCCACTCTTCATACTAACCATGGCACGCTCCTCTGCCTCCTCTGCTGGAGGCCAGCCCCGGGCTTCACTCTAGAGACGTGGCCAACATGTCATTGCAGCAGGACTCGCATCCCTCGGAGGCCTTCAGAAATACCAAGGCCAGCACAAGAGCCCAACACTACTGTTGCCCACTGTAGCTGCTTTATGAAGTAGGAATTGCTCGTAATGTGATGCACAGCTTCTGTTGCGTCTCTGTAGATAGCTCCTTCGCTGGGGCAGTTCATGCGTAGGGACGTCCTTTCGTCTGCTGACTTTCCAGAAGCACTTAAAGGGGCACAATTTTGTGTAGACTTCTAGCACACCTGTGCACACTGTCAGGCTACTGAGTTTTCAAGGTGAATTTAAGGCCACGTCCCTTAAGCTTGCAATCCCATCCCCTTGGCTATCGACTTGGGTAGCTTGACTGTAAAGACCTGGCAAACGGGGTATAGAAGAGAGGGAGAAATGAGCAAATCTGGGCATTTTCCTGTTTGTCCCATTGCA